GATGATATGCATGCTAATAATTGTCATGGCCCCCACGGGGTGCGGGATGGGCTGGGAGAGCCAAAAACGCGAAAAATCCAGAGTCTTTTGCATTTTTAATACAAAAAAATTGAATATCAAATTGAAAACTTAATATTTTGGTGTGAAACTTTGCAGACCTTTGTACCTATAGTGGGGGTGCTTCATAGATATTTTGAGCATCTATTATGAATTATGAGGTGCGCCACACAGCCAGGAATAGTGTGCGCGGCGGGGTTTGATGTGCTTTGCCAAATTTGGCAATATTGTGATGCCTGCACATCCGTGCATAATTCCGGCTCCCCCTCGCATTATTTCGCTTAGCTTTGGCTGAGCGAAATGTTGAGTACATTGACACCTTCCTGTAGACCCTTCGATCGCGTGAAACGGGTGAGAACTCGTTGAGATATGGCGAACGCGATTTTGGCTACTACAATGCATGGTGCACCCATGCATCCTCAGGCGTGTTTAAGCCCATTTAAGTTGGTCAAAAATCATGGAATACATGTCTGAGAGTAATAGTACCATTGATAATGCAAGGGGGTGTCTGGGTGTAGTATATCTGAGGGGGGGTATAGGTACACCAGGAGACCCACTCCGGATACCCCACTAAACGTATCTCTGAAAGTCTGAAAGTTGGTACGTGAATAGTACATATTTATTCATGAATTTAACATATTTTATTATAATTTTATATTGCCTGGAAGCTGGGTTATTGACCGAGTTCCCACAAGCTAAGATATTCTATTGACATCCAGGAGGGGGGATATTAGCACATGTAAAATCACGATAAATGACAATAAATGTATAGAAACAGAACGAGGTACTTGCGAGGGCAAGGGAATGATTCTGTGTAAAGTTATCAAGAGAAGCAGGATGAGGTAGTCCCCCACATGAGGATCTATCTATATACTTGCCAGATCTGTGTATCGCACCCATTAAATGGTGCGTTCGGGTCGGGATAATGTCTGTTAGCATATTTCAGTAGTGACCGATGAGGCTCCAATGCATGGGGGAAATGGTATTAGAGAAAGAGCTGAAAATGCGCGAAAAATACGAAAATAATTAAAATGGGTACCTTGGACTTGTTCAAAAATTACCAAACTTCATATATGAGCACCTATTAACATCCTGAAGGGATTTCAAAAGACTGGATGAGATTCCAAGCAGTAGGTGGAAAGATATGCAAAATGAACTCCCAAAGCACCAGATGCAACACAAAGTTGTTACAGGATGTTGATGCTCTTACTGTCATTGTGATACCCTTTTGCATATCTTTCCACCTACTGCTTGGAATCTCATCCAGTCTTTTGAAATCCCTTCAGGATGTTAATAGGTGCTCATATATGAAGTTTGGTAATTTTTGAACAAGTCCAAGGTACCCATTTTAATTATTTTCGTATTTTTCGCGCATTTTCAGCTCTTTCTCTAATACCATTTCCCCCATGCATTGGAGCCTCATCGGTCACTACTGAAATATGCTAACAGACATTATCCCGACCCGAACGCACCATTTAATGGGTGCGATACACAGATCTGGCAAGTATATAGATAGATCCTCATGTGGGGGACTACCTCATCCTGCTTCTCTTGATAACTTTACACAGAATCATTCCCTTGCCCTCGCAAGTACCTCGTTCTGTTTCTATACATTTATTGTCATTTATCGTGATTTTACATGTGCTAATATCCCCCCTCCTGGATGTCAATAGAATATCTTAGCTCGTGGGAACTCGGTCAATAACCCAGCTTCCAGGCAATATAAAATTATAATAAAATATGTTAAATTCATGAATAAATATGTACTATTCACGTACCAACTTTCAGACTTTCAGAGATACGTTTAGTGGGGTATCCGGAGTGGGTCTCCTGGTGTACCTATAC